TTTGCTGTCTTGCTCAGATCATCAATGTGACTTCTCTCTCTCTCTCTCTTTCTTGCAAATTCTTTTGCCAAAAGGAAATCTGTTGCAACCCAGTTAAAATCTCATTCCTATCCCAAATAAGATTTTTTAATTCCTGAAGTCCGGAATAGACCGTCTTAATTCCTACTGATCCATGAATCTGCCTGTTTCAATTCCTGATACTTCTGTTATCGTTCTATGCAAAAGTAAACTCTTATCAAGGCATTAAGCCATAAACTCATAAAAACTTTGAATGACAAGGTCATATTGGTCATTCAATCTCACCTCCTCTGTTGAAAGCTAAACGTCCCCAATTCTTTCAATCTCTTTTCACAGGTGTTAAAATCTAATCTCCAATCAAGTAGGATTGGAAAAGGTTTTTTTTCTATGAGCCTGCTTCTGCTTCTCTAAGACTTCCTTCCTTCCTTCCTTCCTTCCTTCCTTCCTTCCTTCCTCCCTCCCTCCCTCCCTCCCTCCCTCCCTTCCTGCACTTAGATGGGGGTGGGGGTGGGGGTGTCTCACCGTTACAGAATAAAATCCAACTGTGACTTCACAAAGAGATCAAAAATTTATTCCAATTTTTTTTTCACAAGTACTTAACACGAAGTCTGAAATGTCTGCATTTTAGATCTGTTTCCCAAGTGAAGATCTTTTGTGTTGGTTGCCCATCAAAATCCATTCTGTTATTTTCTCGTCAAGATCGTTTTGAAATTTATTCTGGTCAGGCCATCTTCTGGCCTGACCAACCTTGCCTGATAAACATAGCCCTTTTTTCTTGGTAAACACTTGATAAGGGACACAGGTAGAAGGCAGGATATCCTGTCTGAATTAGCCATGTGGCCAGGATGACACTGTTATTGTTGCATTGTCTATCTGGTTGGTAAGTGTCAAAAATGACTTGATGGCTATCTAACTCTCTGTTTCTGACAATCTATCTATCATCTCTCTCTCTCTCCCTCCCTGCCTACTTTATATTGACTGTTTCCCTATGACCATCATTAAGTGTTGTACCTTATGATTCTTGACAAATGTATCTTTTTTTTTATGTACACTGAGAGCATATGCACTAAAGACAAATTCCTTGTGTGTCCAATCACCCTTGGCCCATAAAGAATTCTATTCTATTCTATTCTATTCTATTCTATTCTATTCTATTCTATTCTATTCTATTCTATTCTATTCTAATTCTATTCTATTCTATTCCTACTATTCTATTCCTATTCTATCCTATTCTATCTATTCTACCTACCTACCTACCTACCTACCCTACCTACCTATTGGTATCTATTTACCAGTATCTATCTATCTATCTAACTACCTTGTTTCCCCGAAAATAAGATCCCTGCATAATAAGCCCAATCGGGCTTTTGAGCGCATGCACTAAAATAAGCCCTCCCTGAAAATAAGCCCCCCCCCCAGAAAATAAGCCCTCCCCAAAAATATTTAAGTGCATGCACAGCCGGTTCCCGCCATTTCCTCTGGTTAGGGTTAGGGAGACAGTTGGAAATCAGGTAAGATGGCAAGAGGAGCCCCATCTTGCTCCACGGGCCCCAAAATAATAAGACCTCCCCGAAAATAAAGCCAAGCGCTTATTTCGGGGTTCAAAAAAATATTAGACAGGGTCCTATTTTCAGGAAAACACAGTATGTAAGTATGTATGTCTGTATCTATCTATCTATCATCTATCTATCATCTATCAGTCTATCTATCCATTGTCTGTCTGTCTGTCCGTCCGTCCATCCATCCATCTGTCCATCCATCCATCTGTCCATCCATCCATATCTATCTATCTATCTATCTATCGATCTATCTATCATCTATCAGTCTATCTATCCATTGTCTGTCTGTCTGTCCGTCCGTCCATCCATCCATCTGTCCATCCATCCATATCTATCTATCTATCTATCTATCTATCTATCTATCTATCTAATCATCTATGTTATCTGTCTATCTATCCATTGTCTGTCCATCCATATCTATCTATCTATCTATCTATCTATCATCTAATCCAAGTATAATTGATTTGATACTTGACCCTAACCCATTAGAGAGTCAGTTTGGTCTAGTGGTTGAGGCATCAGGCTAGAAATCGGGAGACCGTGAATTCTAGTCCCACCAGAGGCACAAAGCCAACTGGGTTCCCTTGGCCAGTCTCTCTGTCTCAGCCCTAGGAAGGAAGGAATGGCAAACCACTTCAGTAAACATTAACAAGGAAAAAGCAGTGTCTTGTCCAGGCAGTGGTCCAGAGTGAAACGCTGACTTGAAGGCTTTTGTGTGTGCACACACACACACACACACACACACAAACCTACACAGAGAGAGAGACCCATAATGCGGCTTGTTTGGTTTCAGTTTAGCAAGTTCAGTAAAACCAGCCTTTGTGACTGGTTTATGGCTTAGCCACATTGGGTGGCTAAGATTAACCTCAAGATTATAGTTTAATAAACCATGGCATAAAAGCTATGGCTAGGTGTAATGTGTTAACCCAACCAGTTTTCCAAGACTATATAAAGTATGAAATAAATGTGAAAGAACATACAGCAAAAAAATACCTTCCGAAGCAGACCTAAGGAGAAAGACAAGTGAAGTACAATTGCACAACTGATTTACCGATTTAACCCATGGTTCTTCTGCAAATCTAACCAAACCAAAAAATGGATTTTGCACAGTTGAAAAGCTCCAGACTCGGCATCAATTAAACCTGCATAGTATTTTACTCGCACGCAGCTGTTACTACTTTGGCTATTTCTATGGTGTGGTATGAACATAGCTACAGCAATGATGAAATGGAAGGGAGAAAAAGATTACCACCTACTGTACTTTTAAGCCCAAGAGATATCCAGAAATAACAGTGTTATTATCCAAGCCATACTATTTGCATAGATAGGGGGGAAAAAAACACTGCATGGAATCACTAGGTTGTATTTGCAAAAAAAAAAAAAAAAAACATTGCACATTTTCAGGAGATGGGATCCACGTTTTAAGAGTCAGCACGAATCCTTTACAGACATCCGGGCATACAAAATTAGCTTGTGCGTCAAATTCCAGATACAAATATTAAAATCTTCACTGATCTGGCAACCTGGGACTTTGTTATCCTGCTCAAACTCAACTTGGGCAGCGCTCCTGAAATTTACTTACCAAATTCGGAAAAAAATTGAGAGGTAAAATGATTTTTTTTTTGTACTTGGAATAGCAGCACCTGATGGATTTGCCCCGGCTAAAAAATCATTTTAGATGTTTGAAATAGACAGACAGACAAACAGATATGATATTTCAAACATCCAACACATACATACACATATACATATACACATATATATATACATACACACACACACACACATTTGTTTGCGGGTAGGAGTATACGTATAGTATAGTAGAACTCCTGTAACATTACAAAAAAATAAATTTACTTGGTTCTCACTTTAATCTTGATTATGATGTATTGAACTGGAAAGTGTTATTACAGTCTGAAGTCACTTTATTTCTGCTATAAACTTGAATAACTCCCTTTTTACGACTCTGTAATCTCTTAATTCGAGGTAAAGTCGGGGCCACTGGATGGAGCAAGATAGAAGATAGAAAGATAGATAGATAGATAGATAGATAGATAGATAGATAGATAGATAGATAGATAGATAGAATAGATAGATAGACAGACAGACAAGACAGACAGACAGACAGACAGACAGACAGACAGACAGACAGACAGATTTCCACCCAACATTAGCAAATATTTAGGGCATATCTTTCCTCAAATTGCAGGAACATTCATTTTGGAATATTCAACATTTCCATTTGAATCACAATCTATAAAGTGACTTGCAACCGATAATTGCTCCCTTTGACTGGCTGGCTAATCAAAATAACATTCTCTTGTGGGTTCCTGCAAATCTAAACTAAATTCGTTTTCATTCGCCTGTCTCTAAATTCAAAGTCCATGAAAGACCAAAGGGACATCAGAGCTGGGGTTGACGCCAACCCAGTTGCAAACCTCCTCGGTCTCGCCCCCCCCCAAAAGAACCCCCCAACCTCCCTCTCGCCCCCGCAAAAACTAAAACTGTGCTAATTTTGCAAAAGGGGGGATGCTTTTGTGCAAAACTTGCTGTCTAGCTGTCCTCAAAGCATCCTCTGAGAAGTTGCTCTGATGAAAAACAAAAGTAAAATTAAAAAAAGGAGAGGTGGGCTATTAACCAAAGCACCCAGGCGGGGGTGGGGAAGCTTTTAAACTCTGCAGAGTCTTCCGGTTTTAAGGCCTGCTCTTTGTTGTGAGCCGGCCATTATATTGTCCTGCAAACAACTCTTGGAAACCGCCTTCAGCTGAGGCCCCCCTACATTGGCAAAGCATCTGGTGTGCAGGAGACCTCCGAGCGTCTTATGCTAATAGCATCTGGTCCTTGTCTTTTGACATCTCCTCCTCCCCCTCTTCCATCTGTTTATCTGGTCCACCTGTTGTCCCATGTTTAGATTGGCAAAGACCCCCGTTCAGAAGGGGCAGAGATTTCATCTTGTTCACACTGAACCAAACACGGGGCTCCGTTTTTCTCCAAAGCCCTGAAGAACTTCCCTCGTGGAAAACAGGGTGATGGAGCTTCTGGAGACAATGCCCCTTGTCACCCTCTGTGAAAACAGAAGTCAAGAAGGAACACCCAGATTTCATTGAACCAAACACAGGGTCCCATCGCTCACCAAAGTCCTTGAGAACTTCCCTCAGGGAAACATGGGAGCTCCTGGAGACAATGCTCCTTTTTCACCTTGTGTGAAAACAGAAGTTCAGAAGGAACACCCAGATTTCGTTCACGTTGAACCAAACACAGGGTCCCATCTCTTACCAAAGCCCATGAGAACTTCCCTCATGCAAAAATTGGAGCTCCTGGAGACAATGCACCTTTTCCACCCTCTGTAAAAACAAGTTCAGAAGAAACACCCGTTCTTCCCAATCTCCATCCCAAGCAAAAGAAGAAGAGATGCTCCCTTACCTTCTTTTTGGAGTGAGCATGGTCTTCTTCTCTGGAGGCTTTGCTGTTTTTCCCAGCTCTTGAAAGTTTGGGCTCCCCAGATTGCTTAATGGTGATTTTGATTTCTGGAGGGCAGATATAGTTCTCCAGGCTTTTGGGGGGCTTCTTAGCCCTCTTGGTGGTCTGGATTTTCAACTTCAAGCTTCCCTCGGTGAAGTTGGCCTCCTTGATGGAGAATTCCTGTTCCTCCAGACCGTCGCCAGCGACCCACTTCTCGCTGTCGGCGTTGGAAATCGAATCTACATCCCTCCTGGAGCAAAGCTCATCCTCTTCCTCAATTTCCATACGATGATGATCCCCGCTCCCAGAGATCCCTTTCGCAGAGCTGGACGTAGAGAGGAGGATCTCCCCAGATCCTCCAAGAGCAGAAGGAGCTTTGGCAGAAGCAATAGTAGATGCCATGAAGTCCGCCTCACTTCCTCTTGGCCGGGAAGGGCCTACATTTTCCCTGGGCTCCATAGCAATCCCCCAGTCTCTGAAAAGTTTATGGGGGGAGGAGCAGAGGAAACCGAGCTGAAGACGAGGGGATCCTTCCCCTCCCCCCAGAAGAGAAGGCGAAATTCCACTTGGCTTTTCTTAGAGGTCGAAATGTCGGACCACAAGAAGGAACTCAAAAAGTCTCAGATCTGCAACTGATGGAAACAAAAAAAAAAAACAGAGATCAGAAACTTGGAATGTTCAGCATGGATTCATGTTGCTGTCAATACACATTTTAGTATAGGAAGTCCTCACTTTACGATCACAACAGAGCCCAAACGATAAGGAAGAAGCTGTTAAGTGAGTTTTCCCCATTTTACAACCATTTTATTTGCCACAGCTGTTAAGCGAATCACTGCGATTGTTAACTGAATCATTCTATATTCTATTCTACCCATTCAGTATTGGTTAATAGCAATAGCACTTAGATTTATATACCACTTTACAGTGCTTTACAGCTCCTCTCTAAGTGGTTTTACAGAGTCAGCCTATTGCTCCCAACAATCTGGGTCCTTATTTTACTCACCTTGGAAGGATGGAAGGCTGAGTCAACCTTTTTTTTTTTTTTTAATTTGATTTATATGCCGCCCTGCTCCGGAGACTCAGGGCGGCTTACAATGTGCTCAGCAATAGCCTTCATCCTTTTGTATATTTATACAAAGTCAGCTTATTGCCCCCACAACTGGGTCCTCAACCTTGAGCATGGTGAGATTCGAACTGCCAAACATCTGCAGCCGGCAGTTAGCAGAAATAGCCTGTAGTACTGCACTCTAACCACTGCGCCACCACGGCTCCTCAACTACTCAATTATGGAGATCAACCCATCACAGTAACGATTGAGGCTCCCACTTTTGCAACTGAGGTCATGGATAATCGTCAGGTCCAAGAAGAAAATAGAAGATGGCAATGGATATCTCACAGAGTGAACAAGCACTCGTTCAGTGACTGTTCAAAGTTACAACAGTTTTGAACGAGTGGAACCTTATCACCAGATCTCGAAGTTCTGGCTGACCCAGCACCCGTCACCATCAGATTCAACTTATGATGTCTGTTAAGAGCCATGGTCATGTGACTGCCACTGGTGCCTTCCCAGATTTCCCACAAGCAGTCAATGGGGAAGCCAGCAGGGAAGGTTGCAAGTTGCTCTAGTAAGTTGTTCCCACTCCTGCTGATTGTTTTTTTTTTTTGTCCCGAGGACAAAAAATGGCTATGAAATACAAGCTCCTGGTGGCCACGGCAGCCACCTGCATACCATACGTGAGTGTCCTTTTGCCATCTGGAATAATCACTCCAAGCCCAGCCACGCTCGTGCCGTGTGCAGCAGCTTAAGAGCAACCTAGGACTCCCCACTGAATTCCTGCTGGCTTCCCCAATGACTTTGTTTGTTGGAAGTCAACAGGAAGTCACGGGGAGCTCCTCACTTAACAATCCATGATCCTCACTTAACAACAGCAACAAGGGCTGCCAACAGCTAATCAACTCAGTCCAGTAACATCACGCCATACAATCACATTGTTTAATGAAGATTATGGACCTGATTCCCATTGTTAACTGAAAACTACCTATAACTGGGAAAAGTTTTCTACCATCATCTACCTTTACAAAGTGATCCTTTTCCATTACTGGACAAGATGCAGAAGTCACCTGGGTCTGCAGATAGGTAAGAGGTTTTTTTTATCTGAATTAGCTGAAACAGTCAAATTCAAATTAATAATTAACAGAAGGGAGGGGAGCAAAGTTCGGACTGCTTGAAAAAAAAATATGAAATTATTTCATGCGGGTGGGCTGTTCTCGGTTTCCTTACGTTCTGCTTGCATAGAGGAAACAAGTTTGTAAGAAGGTCTCACGGGGACTTCCTCCAAAAGGAATTTAAAACCAATTACACTGCTTCTGGGGGATTTATTTACACCCCATGGTCTAACCCAGGGGTCAGCAACCTGCGGCTCCGGAGCTGCATGCAGCTCTTTGGGCCCTCTGCTGTGGCTCCCTGTCAGGTAATCCCGCCATTGGCTGGCCCTGCCTCTCGCCCTCCCCTTCCAGTCACTCCTCGCCTCCACCTGAGAAGGTAAAGGCGACGGTGGGGGATGGAGAAGTGGCCAGGGCAGAGACAGAGAGATACAGAGAGGGGGGCGAGAGAGACAGAGAGATAAGGGGGGGGGGAAGAGAGATAGAGAGATACAGAGAGAGGAAGAGAAGGGGGGAGAGAGGGAGGGAGAGAAGAGAGAGATATGTCAAAATAATTTTGTGGTTCCTGGTGTTTTTTAACAACTGGTTCTCTGCCCTAATGACCGGCTGGGTAGGCATGGCTGGGGGAGGTGTCATATTACTGGTGGAAGTGAGTGACATCAAGTTGGCCACGCCCACTCTGGTTTTGTGTCTCCCGGTGTTTTCTTTTCTGTGGGAAATGGGTCGAAATGGCTCTTTGAGTATTTAAGATTGCAGGCCTCTGGGCTAACCAGTGAGGCTAGCAATGACTTATCTCAGCATACACATCAGGCACATTCCACCAAAGTTTAGTTACAACATAGGAACTACTCATTAGAGCAGGGCTACTCAACCTTGGTATCTTGAAGACTGTGTGGACTTCAACTCCTAGAATTCCCCAGCCAACCACTGCACTACATCCAAACGATGGTGGATAAAAACTTCAATGGCTTTTTCTAAGTCATACATCATAATCTATAAATCTCGAGGGTACATTCAAACAACCTTCCTAGGGAAAATAGAATCAAGATCACATGAAGTGTTAATACCGCTTTATAATGCTTTGGTAAGATCACACTTGGAATACTGGACCAAGTTTTGGTTACATAAGGATATAAAAAAGATGTGGAGACTCTAGAAAGAGCGCAGAGAAGAGCAACAAAGAAGTTTAGGGGACTGGAGGCTAAAACATATGAAGAACGGTTGCAGGAACTAGGTATGTCTAGTTTAATGAAAAGAAGGACTAGGGGAGACATGATAGCAGTCTTCCAATATCTCAGGGGCTGCCACAAAGAAGAGGGAGTCAAGCTATTTTCCAAAGAACCAGAAGGCAGGACCAAAAGCAATATGGAAACTAATCAAGAAGAGAAGCAACCTAGAACTAAGTAGAAATTTCTCGACAGTGAGAACAATTCTGAAGCTTACCTTCAGAAGTTGTGGATACTCCACTACTGGAGGTTTCTAAGAGGAGATTGGACAGCCATTTGTCCAGAACGGTATAGGGTCCCCTGCTTGGGCAAGGGGTTGGACTAGAAGACCTCCAAGTCTCCCTTCCAACTCTTATTACCTTTCAACCAAGAAAAGCTCAACAACTCTATTCAGCCGTGAGAAGATGGCGGATCCTTCCTGGGCGAGCCAAACAAGGACGTCAAAATGAAGGGGCGAGCCCCAAATTTCTCCCAGGCTCAGACACAAACGCAGCTTAACAAACTGTTAGCCATTCACTTTACCGCGGTGGCAATGGGGCTTCCTCGCTGAGCTAAGCAACAGAAACCACGGAGCTCCATTGGGGTTGTTTTGTTGAGAGCTATCTGTAGTTGCCCGTGGGAATATCGTTGCCCTAGAGCAGGGGAGTCAAAGTCGATTTCATGGAGGGCCGCATCAGGATTGTGTTTGACCTCGGAGGGCCATGGTGGGTGTGGCCTTGGTGGGCGTGGCCAGGGGCGTGGCCGGGGGAGGGCATGGCCAGCTCAACTTATGTCGGGGGCACCTGTGGTAGCCAAGTGCTAAGGCAGGATTTCCCTCAGGCCCTCCCTCACTCTCATTATAATCTCCTTCCTTCCTTCCTTCCTTCCTTCCTTCCTTCCTTCCTTCCTTTTCTTCTTTTTCCTTCCGTTTATTCTCCTTTCTTCTTATTTATTTATTTTATTCATTTTATTTTTTAAATTTTTATACCACCCCCTCTCCCGAAGGACTCGGGGCCGTGAACAGCCAAAATTAAAAACACACAATACAAACATTAAAATACTATATAACGAAATTAAATTTATCTTTGGCTTCCCCAATTTAAAACCCCTTACCCATAAAATTCCCCCCTTTCCTTATTTTTCCTTCCTTGCCCTTTTCCCACCTTTCCTTCTTTTCCTTTGTCTTTTCCCTTTCTCCTTTCCTGTCCCTTCTCGCACGCTCAAATGCAAAAGGGGAAACATTTCTCCTTTAGTTTTGTTTTTAGTTTGCTTTGATAGCCAATGAAAATGGAGCCTCCCGGGGGGGGGGAGAGAGAGAGGCCGTGCATGGCCCTCTCCGCACCGTTTTCAGCTCCGACGGCCTCCTGCAGCCCTCTTCCAGCAAAAACGGAGCTTGGGGGGGTGGGGCGCGTGTGTAACACCCCCAAGCTCCGTTTTTGCTGGAAGAGGGCTGTGAAGCAGGCCATCGCGGCCGAAAATGGGGCACGGGGGGGGGCATGTGCGGCCCTGAGCTCCGTTTTTGCTGGCAGAGGCACCACGGGCTGGTCCTTTGCTGTTTCCAGGTCAGTCCTGCGGGCCAGATTTAAGCACCCCGTGTGCCAGATCCACCCTATGGGCCTTGAGTTTGACACCTCTGCCCTAGAGAACCCACATCCAGGTACACCCTGGTCTTCCTAGCACCCCCTGGCAGAAAATCCCCGCTTCTTTGGCCATGCTGCTTGAGTCGATCTCTCGAGTGGAACTATGGGCATTCTGCCCGTAATTCCTACAACATTCTCGGATGTCTTCATTTAGCTCTTTTTCCCCTTAGATAATGAGCCTCTGAGAGACTTTGTGGGCCTCCTCCGATGCTCATCCCTTTGATTGCGTGAGCAGTCGTATCAGCATCCTTCTCTTACCGCACAAATGTCCTTCTGGGCCAATTAGCTTGACTCACACAGGAGACATGAAGAGCCCTGAGAGGCCGCTTCACTGAAGCCATTTCCAGAGAGGTAGCGGCTTTCATGTGCTGCCAGCAAAACAGCAGAAAACGGGTGGCACCTCCAAGGCTAATTAGCGTACTGTGGGAAACAAATCTACTCATCTCTAAGGTGCCACCAGTGAGCTTCCTGGATTTGACGCGGGTCAAATGCCAACTTTTCTTTAGCCTTTGGTTCCGCAGACAAGATCGGAAAAGCTAGGTGGAAACTTCAGGGTAAGAATTCTATAAATGGATGAAGGGCACGTAGAGGTAGAAATAAGATTTTGTGGGCAAAGTAGGGTAG